TTCCGATCTCCCCAAAACCCCAAAACCCCGTACCAAATGGGTTTATAGATTTCAGTAATAACAATAATTATTAACCATTAATATATTTTTCAAAATAATGAAGATTTTTAACAAAGCCTCAAAGCACATCATTGGCTTAAGAGCCAGATAAAACTTCAATCAAACATTAATTAAACGAAACATGATTGCATCTAGATTAGCCTCGGCACCATTAAGATATCTATCAACTTAGACTTAAAACTCAAAGCAAAGTGATATTGAGGTTTTGAGTCAAAATAGTGGATAAAATCAAGAGCTAAGAGATATAATCCCAAGAGGCAAAAACAGAAAGCCATATAATTTAAAGGTCGGAGATATTATTCATGATTTCGAGGTTAAAGAGATTGAGAGAATTGAATTCTTTGATGTTACTGCATACAAGTTAGAGCATGTAAAGACTGGAGCTAAATATCTTCACTTAGATAGCTCAGATATGGACAATGTATTTGCAGTATTATTTAGAACTCCACCTGATGATCACACTGGAAAGCCACATATTCTTGAGCACTTAGCCACATGTGGAAGTGAGAAATACCCGGTAAGAGATCCATTCTTCAATATGATCAAGAGATCTCTTAATACCTATATGAATGCCTGGACTGGTTCAGACTTTACTATGTACCCCTTCTCCACATAGAATACTTAGGATTTTTAGAATTTAATGTCAGTATATTTAGATATGTCATTCTTCCCAAGACTTGACTATTACGATTTCAGATAAGAAGGTCATAGACTTGAGTTCAAAGAGTGGAATGATACAAACACCGATTTGGAGTTTAAAGGAGTCGTTTATAATGAAATGAAGGGAGCTATGAGCAATCCTGAGGATTAGTTCGTTCACAAGATTAATGAGCACCTCTTTTCTAAATCTCAATATAAGTTTAACTCAGGAGGTGACCCAAAATACATAACTGATTTAGACTATAAAGATTTAGTTGATTTCCATAAGAAATACTACCATGCTAACAATGCCACAATCTTTACCTACGGCGATTTAGACTTTACTTAACATCTTGATTTCATTAACAGAAACGTGTTGCACAGATTTGATAACTCAAAAGCAGCTGAGATTTTAAAATCAAGTGATGTAGCCTTGGAAGAGAGACTTAAGGAAGCCAAAATTAAGAATGAACACTTTATGCCGGATCTGATGAGCGAAGCTGAAACTTAAGCAAAATACGGTGTTACCTTCCTGTGTAACTAGACCTCTTAAGATCCATATGAATCATTCTAAATGTAAATTCTGTCAAGTTTATTGTTTGATGGTCCTAATGCTCCATTTTATTAAAAGATTATCGAGGAAGGTGTTGCTCCAAACTTCTGTCCAGGAACTGGTTATGATAGTACAACTAAAGAAGCTACTTTCACAATGGGAGTCTAAGGAATCAAAGTAGAAGATGTTAAGACTTGTGAATTAGCTTTGCATGAGGTTTTGAATGATGTGGCCTAAAATGGCATTGAGGATAGATTCTTTGAGACAATCCTTCATTAGGTTGAATTCAATGCTAAGAGAACCAAGGATCATTTTGGTCTTGGCTGCATCTCACACATGGTGCATTATTCACTTCATAACGGAGATCCCCTTTCATTCTTCAAAATCAATGAATACTCGCAAAGAATCAGAGAGGACTATAAGAAAGGAGATCTTTTCCAATCACTCGTGAAGAAATACCTTATTAATAATAATCATAAGCTTAAGCTTCTTTTTGTGCCTGATCAAACTGTTGGTCCAAAAGAAGAATAGGCAGTCCTAGATAAACTTTCAATGATTAAAAAGGCATTGACAGAAGATGAGAAGTAAACAATTGTCCAAGAAGCTTTTAAGCTCAAATAGCATCAAGAGAGAATTTAGGACTTGAATGTACTTCCATCATTAAGCTTAGGCGACATCTCTAGATAAATGGAATTCGTTGATCATGAGACTAAATATTTAGGAAGTAATTAATATTCTTAATTTCATAACTTTAAAATAGAGGTCAAGACATGGTTCTATGACTAGCCAACTAATGGGATTAATTATGTGAGGATAAAAGCCAATCTTAAAAATCTACCTCCTCATTTAAGAGTGTTCCTTCCTATGTTTGGAGAGTATATTATAGTTTTAAGCTTTATTAATTCAATAGATTTTTATCACAGATAGGAACTAAAAACTACAAATACAACGACTTCAACGATAGAATTCTGAGCTGCTCAAATGGATTAGAGATTAATGTAGATAAGTATTCTAATACTCCAGACTTTAAGGATATTCATGATAGACATGAGAATTTATTTGTATCGATTGGTTTCCTCGACAGAAATATCGACAAGGCCTTTGATTGTTTGGCAGAGATCATCGCTACTCCTAACTTCGATGAGCCACAAAACATTTCAGACATTATTAAAATGGAATCGATCAATAAAGCCAACAATATTGGGAATAAAGGTGCTTAATATGCGACTAGTTACGGCTCTAGTGGTATTAAAGCATTTGCTAGAAGCTTCGAAAGTTTGAGATCAGACATTTTCTTCTGCTAGTTTGCTGCTGAAGTATTAAAAACTGCAGACGCCTTGCCCGTTCTAAAGGACGCAATTTACAATATGACTGAAATCGCTTCATATGTTTTCAGAGAAGAGAATATGGAATTTGCCGTTCATGGAAGCAAAAAGAAGTTTAACCTTATATAACTCAAGCTAGAACTATTACTAAACTCTATTAAGAATGATAACTCTAGATATTCAGATAAATATTCTAATATTGAAAAAGTTTCTGGGGAGTTTGAAAACCCAATTTATTATAAGAGCTTCTTCAAGACACCTTTAGCAGTCAACAACTGTTCAGAGACAATGCTAATTCCTACTAACACTAGCTATGACGATTATGGTGCTCTCCAGGTATTAGGAGATATGATGACTTTCACCTATTTATTACCTTCAATTCGTGAGAAAGGTGGTGCTTATGGAGCAGGTTGCAGGATAAGCGAGAGCGGTGCATTTACATTCCATTCATTCAGAGATCCTAAGATAGATAGCACTTTTGAGAACTTTGAAAAAGCTCTTGACTCTGTTATAAATAAGGAATTTTCAGAAGCTCAACTAAAAGAAGCTAAACTGCTAACTTTCCAAAAACTAGATAAAGTGATTGATCCATCACTCAAAGGTCTCTATCAATTCAGCAGAGGATATACTGATGAGCACAGATTGAAGCTGAGACTAAGATGCCTTGACTTGACTAGAGAAGATTTAGTTGCTGTTGCTGAGAAATATCTCATCAAGGCTGTCGAGAATGGCCACACATCAAGAGTAGTTTTCGGATCATAAAATGCTGATCATACTGAACTTGAGGGCAAAGGTTGGACTGTCTAGAATCCAATTGACTTCCTTAGTTATTAATATTTCGAAAAGTGGAATGAGGAAGCTAAGCAAGTATGATTTAATCAAATTGATAATACTTATTCTAATTGAATTTTAATTCAAGCATGATGGGGTTTTGGGGTTTTGGGGTTTTGGGG